ACCATAAATGGAAGAGTTTTTTTTTTTTTTTTTCCTTTTGATGAAATAAAATGGAAGAATCCACATGTTTATGCATGTCCATTCAATTCAGGCTATTTCCATTTTCCAGCTCTAAATAACTGGTTTTAATTTGACCATCATCTTCTGGTATGATCACCAACCATGGTGGAAACTAGAGTACTGATAATCAAGTCTAGTAATGGTTCAATCAAGTTAAATTTACTCATGACTCCTTACACTTACTCTTCAAATTAATGGTCGGTTTGTCAGTTTTCATTTCCAGACCAAAATTCCCGAAAAATTTCAAAGGTCATATGAATTAGCAAAATACTATAAAAAATTGATATAATATATGGTTCAAAAATATAACAATTATACATCTGAAATATGTCTATCTATTTATCAATAAAAATTTAATTTGGCAACATAGATAGTTGGAGTGACATTTACGTAATTATTAGTATAAAGTTTTTTCTTTATGTGTTGAAATTGATAGTGAATTAATTTGGAGTTTGGACAAAAAAAAAAAAGAGTTCACACCCAAAAAATAAGGTCAAGGTAAACGCAAATGCAACAGATCTACTACTTCATTTTCCATTGTCAATATCTAGTTAGATTCCCCACCAAAAAAAAGGAGTTCACACGAAAGAGAGCAGGTCAGGGTCATTGAGTAAATTCAAAGGCAGATTCTTGTTAACCAGAGTGTTAAGATCTAGTTGTCTTTTTCAACCTAATTTGAAGAAGTGACTTTCAGTAATCAATAACATATTGTAATCCTGGATATGAAACATGATGCAAGAAATTAATACTCTTAAATTGAAGTCTTTGATTCTTGGAAGACGTAAGGTACAATGCTTTGTTTCACAAGAGGACTTTGTCACTTTCCTTAAACATCGGCAGAATTAGATTTCCCATTGATAATTTCCATATTTTATGTTATTTGAATGTTTACTCAATGGATTGACAGACAAGAACCAATTGCTAGGCTTCTGACTATCCGAATTCAGACATGATTGAACCTACCCCAAGTTTCTTTTTATGTCAGTTTCTGTTTAAATATACTGCTAGGCTAACCTGCTGCAATTTTTCTTTCTTCCCTGATCCACACTAATCTAGACATTAGAAGACTATGAATGGAGAGCTCAAAAGCTTGGATGCTGCATATCTTCTTTTTATTTCACCTAAACTATGCATCTGCCATGCTCGGAATGAAACTGATCAACTCGCCTTGGTTGCATTCAAGGAGATAACTGAATATTGCATACACATTTCTAACTGAAGATCCAGTTGAAAAGTATAACAATTTTACATCAATTGAAATATGCCTATCTATTTACCAATCAAAATCTAGTTTGGCGTTGTAGATAGTTGCAGTGATATAGACGTAGTTATTATTATAAAGTTTTTTTTATGTGTTGAAATTGATAGGTGAGTTTGTAGTTTTGGACAAAAAAAATGAATTCACACCAAAGGTATCAAGTCAACGTAAACACAAATGCAACTGACCCACTACTTTATTTTCTATGGTCATCATCTGGTTAGATTCCCCCATTATTTGCTCCTATGGTGCAAGTCTTTTTACAAGTCTACAAAGTCCTTTAAAGACTTCCAATTAATCCTGATAGTGAAAATAAAGGCATAAAGGAAGCAAATAGACGTGTTCATGGGTTATCTGAACGAGTGCCTAAGGCTTGACTAATCTTTCATGGTTAATAAGCTTGATTTTTAAAAAATATATTAAAATATTTAAAAAATACAAAAATATGAATATTTAACATTTTAAAATATATGTTAAAATTAAAATTTAATAAACAAGTATTTCTAATAAATTTTAAATAATTTTGATCGAGCCCAAGCTTCAAATCTCCTGAGCCTTGGACAGATCGAGAAGAAAGTTTTCTTTTTATTTTACTAAAGAATTTTTTTTTTCAATTTATTAAGGAGAGAACATTTACAGTTTATTTACTTAAAAATTTAAAGCAAGAAAAAAAAGAAAAAAAAAACTATCTATTTTCTTAATTGGCTAGTAGTGCAGAGAAATTCTTATATCTGAAAGCAAAAAAAAATATCTCTGTTCAGCATCTACCTTTGAAATTTTGTAGTCCAGACGAGACACTTTGCCTTAATTTCTTTGAGCATCTATGGCTACAGTCAAGTCCGATAACTATCTTTAGTCATCCCAAAGAGAAATTCATGAAAGGGACAGCACTCAAAGCAAATCATTCTAGATTCAACATGTCACGTCCCAAGATCAAGAGACAATACGATCATATTATCTTGAAGTAAAATTTCAAAGTAATACAAAGCTTTTTTTTTTTAATCATTTTAAAATTTTTCAATAAATTGATATAGTTTGCTAAGTAAAATCTATATATTTAATCCAACTAATGGTATATCTTTATATATCTAAATACAAACCATATAAAATACAAATTTGTTTCATAATATCTCACTAGCCAATATTGTCTCCAACGACTAAGTAATCTTTCCCATTTGATCTTCTAACTTTTCACAAAACTAAGCAAACTTATCACTTATTCATCTGCAAAAAAAAAAAAAAAAGTAAAGGGGAATGAGCAAACCACTGCTCAACAAGTATATGCTCACACCTTATCGGATCAAGCATCATTTTCATACATATCAATAAAGCATTCAAAATAGTCATCAAATCATAATGTCAAAACATTTTAAAGATCATCATTTTGTCAAATATTTCATAAATTCATAAATCAATATCAACATATGTCACTTCATAAATCATTGCAAAATATGCTATCATTCAAATATCATAATCAAACCAAATCATGGATCAATCATTAAAAATCATCGTAAATCATCGTTATCATAAATCATCATTATTATTCATTTATCGTTAGCTACGATCACTGCTATAACCCGTGACATTGGCCATATTAACAATTTCATCCCCATGCTCATTACTAACTATTATAACCCGCTAGCCAGGGTCTTACACTAATTACTATAACCCGTTAGCAGGGCCATATGATCATGTCATATTAATTACTATAACCCATTAGTCAGGGCTATAGAATTAGTTCTGGTGTCGATGATCCCACTTCTCGGGGATATAAAAATGTAGCCATTATAAAATCATTCTTTAAACTTAAATTGTTTTCTCATTTTATTCATAAGCATGACCTATCATTTATATAGAAAAACATAAAATAATCATATGCTTGATCCTATTTTCATACATTGAAAACAATGAAATTAAACATTCATTCATTTATAAATATATATATATTTGAAGACAAGCAAAGTATGTGAGATTTTACTTATCTCTTTTCGATTTTATCACTTAGTTTTTCTCCCCAAATAATTAATAGCCTATTCAAGATAATTTCAACATAATGAAAATTAATCAACCTATTTGAGACCACTTATTCCAAAACAATTAAGTTAAACCAGAATTAACTCGAGTAACTAATTTTGGCAACTTACCTTACTTTCACTAAAATGATTATATCTCAAGATATCCAACTCGAAATTAAAATCTTTTTAATGCATTAGAAACTAGACTCGATAAACTTTCTAACCATATATGGTCCATCTCGTGATTCTTGTGGATTAATTATAACAAATTTTGCAATCCACGTCAGATACTGCTGCCAGACAGCCTGTATATCTTCTAAAAAAATTTATGCATTTATTCATAGGAAACTCCAAATTCAATTCTGCTTGCTTCGTTGGAAAATAGACTCAATAAGCTTTTCAAACATATATAGTTAATCTGTAATTCCTTGTATAAAAATCAAAATAATTTTCGTAATTCAACCCTGATGCTACTGCCTTACAGCCTATATATCTTTAAGTAAAAATTAGACAACTCTTCATAAAAAACTCGGATTCAACTTCCATTTGTTTTATTAGAAAGTAGATTCTACATGTTTTCCAATGATATATAATAATCATAGCAATAATCTATCCATTAATACAAAATTTTATTTTTATTCACTATTGTAGATCATAACATCTCATCTAAAAACATAATTTCTTCTTCAATCTTTAAAAATTCAAGTTTCCACTTTCAACCTTTAAATTCCATTCAATAATCATCAATAAATCTTAAGAATATAAAATAACAAAGCCCAATAATTTACCCAAATAGATCATGAAGATTAATGAAAGATTTCATAATTTTCTTGGTTTTTCTTTTCAAACTTTAACTCCATATAATAATAACCAAAATGGTATATTTTTCTTAAATAAAAAGAGGGCATATTCTCACTTTTAGGGGATTAACTTGATTGTAGCCTCCAATTTTGAATCTCCAACTTGATTTTTCATATTCTCTAACCTTAAAGAAGATGAGAAAGAAGAACTCACATTTTTTTTTCTGTTTCTCGATAGTTAGGTTTTCTTTCATTTAATATCTCAGTCCTTTTGTCTTTTACTAATTAGTCTCTTAATAAATTGATGGACTTTGGTATTAGTCTAGCACAATTATTATTTTGGGCTGGAGTATCACACAACATTAGAGATCAAAACTGTTTTAAACAAGAAATAAAGAAAAGGTACCTGAAGTTCTTAATTTTTCCTACTCTTTTGTTATAAATTTGCTATCATTTGATGTTGCAGAAAGAACTTATATATCTCTTTGCTTTTGTTGCCCAAGCAAACACTGTAAAATGTAAAGTAATAGTAGCATGAATTCAAGTGGTCTTTCTTTGTTGATGAGGCTATCAGAATTGCATTTCAAGGTGCCTTGGTCACTTAAATTTTCCATCTTTGCTGCTGTCGTTTTTCTCTTATGCTTCAATCTTAAAGGTCCTTTCTTTCTTAGTTTAGCAGCCTTGGCAATTAATGGAAATGAAAAAGATCTACAGGCTTTGCTCCAGTTTGAGGCCAAGATGGCTGGTGATCAGCTTGGGATTATGCGTTCGTGGAACAACAGCGTCCATTTTTGCCAACGGCGTGGTGTTAAATGAGGATGACGAATTCAGAAAGTTACCAAGTTGGATTTGCCAGCACTGAAACTAATGGGACCAATATCACCTTATATTGGAAATTTGAGCTTTCTACGGGTGTTAAGTCTTCAAAACAACAGCTTCATTCAAGAACTTCCACAAGAAATAGGTCGTTTACATAGATTGGAAGAACTAACTCTTGATAGAAACTTAATACTTGGTGAAATTCCTTCCAATATATCCAATCGTTCGAAGCTCAAACATCTTTACATTAGACGCAATCTGCTAGTTGGAGAAATACCTATTGCACTTGGCCACTTGTCAAACCTAAAGGAATTAGGCCTTAGCAACAACACATTAAGAGGGAGCATCCCTCCTTTTCTAGGGAACTTATCATCTTTGGAGATAATATTTCTGCCACTAAATAGATTGTCTGGGGTTATCCCTGAAATTCTTGGCCAACTGAAGAATCTTATCACTTTTGGCGTGGCAATGAATAAAATGTCTGGCATCGTTCCTTCCTCACTTTTTAATCTCTCTAACGTCAAAAAACTTGATATGGGGGAAAATAGCTTTCACGGTAGTCTTCCCTCACAATTGGGAGTCAACATGCCATATCTTGAACTATTTTATGTTAGCCAGAACCAACACAGTGGACCATTCCCACTTTCAATATCCAATGCCTCTAACCTCATCACGCTTTAGGTTGATGGGAACAAATTTAGTGGAAAGATATCTTCATTCCGAAAGTTAGAAAAGTTGCGAAGATTGAATATTGGTGAGAATCTTCTTGGTAGTCAGGAAGTAAATAACATAAACTTCCTCTATTCTTTAACTAGTGCCACTGGCTTGGAAATTGTGGTTATCAATGACAACAGCTTTGGAGGGATATTACCTGAGTGCATAAGCAATTTGTCAACTGCTATGACCTTTTTTTATAAGGAATGCAATAACATAGTGGGAAAAATACCAGCAGGATTTGGAAATCTAATCAACTTGAAGGGGTTGACGGTAGGAGAAAATCAATTATCAGGTTCCATTCCATCTGTCATAGGCAGGCTTCAAAAACGAAAATATTTTGCTATAAATATTAATTTTATCTCTGATTCATCCCCACTTCATTGGGAAATTTAAAGATGTTGATCAAGTTGCATCTAAATGACAACAATCTTCAAGGTGAGATTCCTCCAAGTCTAGGCAAATGTGAAAATCTTGTTTTATTAGATTTTTCTAATAACAATCCCAGTGGTTCTATACCCTCCCAAATAGCTGCATTATCATCTTTGTCTATCCGTCTACACTTATCTTCAAACCATTTGACTGGCGTGCTTCCCTTTGAAGTAGAAAATTTAAGAAATCTTGGTGAAATAGATGTTTCTCAAAACATGTTATCAAGTGTCATTCCAAATGATCTTGGTAATTGTATAAGGTTGAAGGTACTACTAATGAGAGGTAATTTCTTCAATGGATCAATTCCTTCATTTTTAAGTTCATTGAGAGATCTTATAAATTTAGACCTTTCTAGAAACAAGGTCTTACAAATTTAGACCTTTCTAGAAACAATCTCATTGGTAAAATTCTTGAATTTCTTGTGACATGTGGTGCTTTACACTACTTGAATCTTTCTTACGACAATTTTGAAGGTCTAGTACCAATTGATGGAGTTTTTAAAAATGTAAGTGTTGCATTCCTTGAAGGGAACAGTAAGCTTTGTGGAGGCACTCCTGAGTTCCACTTGCCAACTTGTGATAACTTGAAACAACATAAAGAGAGATCAACTATTTCACTTAAATCAATAATTGCTATTGTTTCTGCACTTTCATGAGTTATTTTGGTTTTTCCTTCATGTTTCTTTTTTGGTTTAGAAAGAAAATGTTAGAAGATGTGTTTAGGACTGCTAATGTGGATTCATGAATGTTGCTTAGTTGAATGTTTCATGTTGTTTCTATTTTTTTGGTGTTGGTTATTTTATTTGTTATTCATGCTGGTAGTCATGGCTTAATCTTAGGACTATAATTTTAGTGGGTAGTTATTAATTAGGCTTTAAATTGTAATGTTTCTGATGTTAAGAAATGCAACAGTGAGTAAAGTTTTCTTTGCTTCAAAAATAACAACATTTGGTATCAGAGCTATCTTCTTAAGGGATCTGTGTGTGAAATTGATGCGTCATGAAAGCTGAAGCCAGTTTCTCCGTAATTACTCGACGGTGTTCAACTGAGACAACTACCAGATTTAGGCAGTACGTATGGAGACATACTTGGAAGCTTTAGATCTTTGGAAAGCAGTGGAAGAACACTATGAAATTCTTGCACTTCCAAACAATCCCATCATCGCACAGATTAAAGTACAAAAAGAAAAGAAGATAAGGAAATCAAAGGCAAAAGCCTGCTTGTTTGCTGCAGTCTCATCTATCATCTTCACTCGTATCATGTCTCTGAAGTCAGCAAAAGAGATATGGGATTATCTCAAGAATGAATATGAAGGAGATGAAAGAATTAAAGGGATGCAAGTCATTAACTTGATTAGGGAATTTGAACTTCAAGGAATGAAGGACTCCGAGACAATTAAAGATTACTCCGATAGGCTTCTGAGTATTGCAAACAAAGTAAGACTTCTTGGATATGAATTTACTGACTTAAGATTATAAAAAAAATTTTTGTTACAGTACCTGAAAGATATGAAGCAACCATCACTGTCTTGGAGAATACAAATAATCTGTCAAAAATTTCCTTAACAGAATTACTTAACACTTTGCAAGCACAAGAACAAAGAAGACTGATGAGGGAAGATACAACAATTGAAGGAGCTTTGGCAGTCAAGCATCAAAATGTGGCCAAAAGCAAAAGAAAGAAGAAAAAAGATTTTGAAATAAATGGGGCAAGTGCTGCATCAGCCAATGCAAAAGGAAAGAATGAAAATCAAAAGAAATCTTATTCACCTTGCCAACGTTGTGGAAAGAAGGGTCATCTTCCATTTAGATGCTGAAGAAGACCTGATGCTAAATGCACTAAATGTAATTAAATAGGGCATGAAGCTGTTATCTGTAAAAATAAAAATTTGCAACATGGTGAAAATGTAAAGATTGCTGATCAAGAGGAGGAGGATCACCTGTTCGTAGCTACATGTTTCTCCAGCATCGAATCAAGTGAGAGTTGGCTCATAGATAGTGGTTGTACTAACCACATAACACATGACAAGGATCTATTCAGGGAACTAAGCAACGTAAACTCATTGAAAGTTTGAATTGGTAATGGCAAGTACATAACTGTGAAAGGAAAAGAAACAGTTGCAATTTCAACTTGTTCAGGTACAAAGTTCATTTTTGATGTATTATATGTCCCTGAAATTGATCAAAACTTGTTAAGTGTTGGACAACTAATTGAAAAGGGTTATAAAATTATGTTCAAAGATAAAAGTTGCTTGATTAAAGATGCAGTTGGCCAAGATATTTTCAAAGTAAAAATGAAAAGGAAAAGCTTTGCTCTAAATCTATTGGAGGAGGAGGAAAATGTTTTCCCAATCAAAGAAAATATCACTAAAGTATGGCACAAGAGGCTCGGGCACTATCATCATCAGGGGTTGCTGCAGATGAAATCCAAGAAGATGGTAAATGATTTTCCAGAACTTGATGATCATATTCCAAACTGTAAAGCATGTTAGTTTGGAAAGCAAAGTAGGAAACCATTTCCCAAGGTAACATGGAAAGCATCAAAGAAGTTACAATTAATTCATACTGACATTGCAGGCCCACAAAGAACGCCTTCTCTAAAAGGTAATCTTTATTATGTTGCATTCATTGATGATTTCACCCGTATGTGTTGGATCTTTTTTTTAAAGTACAAGTCAGAGGTGGCTCAACTCTTCTGGAACTTTAAAGCCAGAGTTGAGAATGAGAGTGTCTGTAGAATTTAAACTCTCAGATCAGACAATGGTAAAGAGTACACCTCTGAAGCATTCACTCATTTTTGTGAAGAGGTAGGCATCTAACATCAATTAACCACTCCATACACTCCACAACAAAATGGAGTAAGTGAGAGACGAAATAGATTCATATTGGAGATGACACGATGTATGCTACATGAGAAGAACTTGCCAAAGCAATTTTGGGCTAAAGCAGCAAATACTGCTATTTTTTTACAAAACAGGCTTCCTACAAGAGTAGTGAAGGATCAAACACCCTTTGAGGCATGGTATGGTTATAAACCATCTCTGAATTTCCTTAAAATATTTGGATGTTTGTGCTTCACTTATGTTCCACAGATCAAGAAAGATAAATTAGATAAAAGAGCACTTCCAGGCATCTTCATTGGCTACAGCTCAGTTGCAAAAGCTTATGAAGTTTTCCAGCCACAAACTGAAAAAATTATTATAAGCAGGGATGTGCACTTTATGGAAGATGAAGAGTGGAACTGGGATGATGCAAAAAAGATGGATCTAACTTTAAAAGAACACAAGCTCAAGTTTCCTAGCATTGGAGACTGAGAGCATGAAATGGTGGATGACAGTCCTATCAGAGGTACAAGACTACTTTTTTATGTTTATCAAAGATGCAATATTGTTGTGTGTGAACCTACAAATTATGAAGAGACCAAGACGGATCAAAATCAGATTGCTGCAATGAAAGAGGAGCTATTCATGATTGAAAGGAATGAAACATGAGAGTTGGTTGATCGACCCTAAAACAGAAAAGTAATTTGAGTCAAATGGGTGTACAGAACCAAGCTTAATGCTGATGGCTCAATCAAAAAGTATAAAGCTAGACTCGTGGTCAAAGGATATGCTCAAATACTCAATGTGGACTACTCAGATACCTTCGCACCAGTCGCTAGACTCGACACCATCAGGCTCTTACTCGCCATTACAGCACAAAAGAATTGAAAAGTGCACCAATTAGATGTCAAGTCAGCATTCTTGAATGGTTTTCTACAAGAAGAGATTTATGTAGAACAACCAGAAGGTTATGTCAAGGAAGGAGAAAAAGACAAGGTTTATCTTCTTAAAAAGGCACTTTACGGGCAAGCTCCAAGAGCTTGGTACAGCAGGATTGATAAACATTTACAGAACTTGGGATTTTTGAAAAGCTTATTTGAATCAACATTATATGTCAAGCACAATGGAGCTGACATTCTTATCATCTCACTATATGTGGATGACTTACTTGTGACAGGAAACAACACAAGTATTGTGGAGAAGTTTAAGCAAGAGATGATGGAGTTTTTTGAAATGACAGATCTTGGATTGATGACTTTTTTTCTTAGAATGGAAATCAAATAGAATGAACATGAAGTCTTCATTTGTCACAAGAAATATGCCAAAGAGATTCTGAAGAAGTTTAAACTCGAAAAATGTAAAGAAATAAGGACACCAATGAACTCAAAGGAAAAGCTCTGTAAAGAAGATGGAACAGAGAAGATTGATCAGGCATATTTTAGAAGCCTGATTGGTTGCTTAATGTTTCTCACAGTAACTCGGCCTGACATTTTAAATGTTGTAAGCATTTTGCCTCGGTTTATGCATTGTGCAAGTGAATGGCATCTCAAGGCTACAAAGAGGGTGCTTAGATATGTGAAAGGCACAAGTGATTTTGGCATTAAATACATAAAGAGCAAAGAGTTCAAGCTGGTTGGTTTCTCAGACAGTAATTGGAGAGGTTTCATTGATGATATGAAGAGCACTTAAGGCTATTGTTTCACACTTGGTTCTGGTGTTTTCTCATGGAGTTCGAAAAAACAAGAAATTATAGCTCAATCCACAACTGAAGCAGAGTTTATTGCTGCAACAGCTGCTGTTAATCAAGCTTTGTGGCTAAGGAAGATTTTAATCGATCTTAACTTAGAGCAGGAGAAAAGCACAAAGATTCTTGTTAACAACCAAGCTGCCATTGCTATCTCTCAAAATCCTGTGTTTCACAGGAAAACTAAACATTTTAATATCAAATTATTCTTCTTAAGGGAAGTACAGAAAGATGAAGCTGTTGTTTTTGTCTACTGCAAAATAGAAGATCAGGTTGCAGATGTTTTCACCAAGCCACTGCCAGTTAGCAAGTTTGAATTTTTGAGGATAAAACTTGGTGTTAGTTTATTACTACAACAGCTGCTGTTAATCAAGCTTTGTAGCTAAGAAAGATTTTAATCGATCTTAACTTAGAGCAGGAGGAAAGCATGAAGATTCTTGTTGACAACCAAGTTGCCATTGCTATCTCTCAAAATCTTATGTTTCACAAGAAAACTAAACATTTTAATATTAAATTATTCTTCTTAAGAAAAGTATAAAAAGATGGAGCTGTTGTTCTTGTCTACTGCAAAACAAAAGATCAGGTTGCAGATGTTTTCACCAAGCCACTACCAGTTAGCAAGTTTGAATTTCTGAAGACAAAACTTGGTGTTTGCAGCTCCTAAAGTAAGGAAGAGTGTTAGAAGATATGTTTAGGTCTACTAATGTGGATTCATGAATGTTGCTTAGTTGAATGTTTCATGTTGTTCCTGTTTTTTTGTGTTGGTTATTTTATTTGTTATTCATGCTGGTGGTCATGGCTTAATCTTAGGACTATGATTTTAGTGGATAGTTATTAATTAGGCTTTAAATTGTAATGTTTCTGATGTTAAGAAATGCAACAGTGAGTAAAGTTTTCTTTGCTTCAAAAATAACAACAGAAAAGAAAGCAACCAGCATCACCAAATGCAGAAAATCCATTGTTAAGGTTATCATATCAAAGCATCCTAAAAGCTACTAATGGTTTCTCATCAGAAAATTTAGTAGGTACAGGTAGTTTGGGATTCGTATATAAAAGAATTAATGGAACAATTATTGCCGTTAAGGTACTTAAACTTTTGAGTCACGAAGCTTCCAAGAGTTTCTTGGCTGAATGTGAGGCCTTGAGGAATTTTAGACATCAAAACCTTGTCAAGGTGTTAATAGCACGTTCTGGTGTGGACTATTAAAGCAATGATTTTGAGGCTCTTGTTTATGAGTTCATTGCAAATGGAAGTCTAAAGGATTGGCTGCATCCGATTTTTGGCATGAATGAGGGAGAGGAGACAGCAAAAAGCTTGAATTTTTGTCAAAGATTGAATGTGGCAGTTTATGTTGGTTGTGCATTAGAGTATCTTCATCATCTTTGCGAAGCCCCAATTGTTCATTGTGATCTTAAGCCAAGCAATATTCTACTTGATGATGAAATGGTTGGCCATATAGGTGACTTTGGGCTAGCAAAATTCATTACATCAGACATACAAAATAGCACTTCAAGCCTGTCAAGCTTTCTTGGGTTAAGAGGAACAATTGGTTATGCTCCGCAGGGTAAATAGAACATTCTTTCAAATCAATACGTTATTTAATTTAAGCTGTTTAGATCTTTGATGTGTGAAATGTATTTGCATCTGTTTCAAAATTATTGCTTTTATTTGTGACAAATGAATTGTAGAATATGGCTTAGGATGTAATGTGACAACATATGGAGATGTTTACAGCTATAGCATTCTTTTGCTGGAGATGTTTACAGGGAGAAGACCAACTGATGAAATGTTTAAAGAGAATCTGAACCTCCATAACTTTGTTAAAATAGCTTTGCCAAATCGAGTGGCTGAGATTACGGATCCCACTTTTCTTCAAGAAAGTTTTAAAGGAGAAACAGTGATGAACAACACTTTCAATGAGAGCAGCCAAAAACATAATAGACTTCTTCGAAGCTTGAATTCCATATTTGAAATTGGAATTTCTTGTTCTTTTGAATTGCCAACTGAAAGAATGAACCAGGCTAATGTTGTTGCCGAGTTTTGTTCTGTAAGAGACAAGCTGCTTCCAACTCAATCATTAAGAACAAGAGGTATTAATATTGGTTTAAATCTAAGTAACAATAACATTTAATTTGTTATACATTTTTATCAAATTTTACATCCTTTGCATTATTTTCTTCAGCTGCAGGTACTGCTTAATGGCTTAAGCTTAGTTGGTCCATTGGCATGTGAAGATGCAGTTTTGATCACTATCATATTTGATTGGGAACTCCCCGGCGCTCTATATTCTGTCCTGCAAACAATCCCTCCCCTGGAAAGAAACAGGGAAAAGAAGAAAAGATCATCATTTCCTTTAGCAGCAGTTACTTAGTCTTGTGTTTATTATTCTCTTCCTTTTACTCCATTAAGGACCAAATCTGTAAGAAAGTTAGATTTAGCCAGAACCAACTCAGTGGACCATTCCCTCCTTCAATATCCAATGCCTCTAACCTCATTGCGCTTCAGGTTGACGGGAACAAATTTAGTGGAAAGATATCTTTATTCCAAAAGCTAGAAAAGTTACGAAAATTGAATATTGGTGACAATCTTCTTGGTAGTCAGGGAGCAAATGACTTAAACTTCCTCTGCTCTTTAACTAGTGCCACCAGCTTGGAAATTGTGGTTATTAACGACAACAGCTTTGGAGGGATATTACCAGAGTGCATAAGCAATTTGTCAACTCCTATGACCTTTTTTTATATGGAAGGCAATAACATGGTGGGAAGAATACCAGCAGGATTTGGAAATCTAATCAACTTGGAAGGGTTGGTGGTAGGAGAAAATCAATTATCAGGTTCCATTCCATCTGTCATAGGCAGGTTTCAAAAACTAAAATATTTTGCTGTAAATATTAATTCTATCTCTGGATCCATCCCCACTTCATTGGGAAATTTAAAGATGTTGATCAAGTTGTATCTAAATGACAACAATCTTCAGGGCGAAACTCCTCCAAGTCTAGGCAAATGTGAAAATCTGATTTTTTTTTTAGATCTTTCTAATAACAATCTCAGTGGTTCTATACCTTCTCAAATAGTTGGACTATCATCCTTATTTATCGGTCTATACTTATTTTCAAACCGTTTGACTGGCGTGCTTCCCATTGAAGTAGGAAATTCAAGAAATCTTGGTGAATTAGATGTTTCTCAAAACATGTTATCTAGTGTCATTCCAAATGATCTTGGTAATTGTATGAGGTTCGAGGTACTACTGATGAGAGGCTATTTCTTCAATGGATCAATTCCTTCATCTTTGAGTTCTTTGAGAGGTTTTACTATAATACCCCAGCCCAAATAATAATTGGGCTAGACTAATACAAAAGCCCATTAGTTTATTAAAAGATTAATTAGTAAAAGAAAAAATGCTGAGATATTAAATGAAAGAAAACCTAGCTATCTGAAATAAAAAAGAAATGAGAGTTCTTCTTCCTGATCTTCTTTAGGGATAGAGAGCATGAAAAATCAAGTTGGAGATTGAAAATTAAAGGCTACAATCAAGTGAATCCCTTAAAGTTGAGTACATGACCTCTTTTTATTTAAAAATTATACAATGTTGGTTGCTATTATTTGGAATTGAAGTTCTAAGAGAAAAATCAAGAAAAATTATAAAATCTTTCATTAATCTTCATGATCTATTTAGGTAAATTACTGGGCTTTATTTATTTCATGTCCTTAAGATTTATTGATGATTATTGAATGGAGTTTAAAGGCTGAAAGTAGAGATTTGAATTGTTAAAGATTGAAGGAGAAATTCTATTTTTAGATGAGATGCTATGATTTGCAACAGTGAATTAAAATAAGATTCTGTATTAATAGATAAATTATTGCTATGATTATTATATATGTTGGAAAACGTGTTAAATATACTTTTTAATGAAACAAATGAAAGTTGAATCCGAGTTTTTTATGAAGAGTTGTCTAATTTTTACTTAAGGATATGCAAGCTATAAGGTAGCAGCATCAAGATTGAATTACGAAATTTGTCTTAATTTCTATATAAGGAATTACAGATTAAGCCATATATGTTTGGAAAGCATATTGAGTCTATTTTCCAACAGAACAAGCGGAATTGAATCTAGAGTTTCCTATGAATAAATACGTAATTTTTATTAGAAGGTATACATGCAGCATCTGACATGGATTACAAAAATTGTTATAATTAATCCACAAGGAATCACGAGATGAGCCATATATGGTTAGAAAGCTTAATAAGTCTTTTTTCTAACCCTAAAAAGATCTTAATTCGAGTTGGATGTCTTGAGATATGATTATTTTAGTGAAAGTAGTGTAGGCTGCCACAATTAGTTACTGAAGTTAATTCTTGTTTAACTTAATTATTTTGGTATAAGTGGTCTCAAATAGGTTAATTAATTTCTGTTATGTTGAAATTATCTTGAATAGGCCATTAATTATTTTGGGGAGAAAAACTAGGTGGTGGAATTAGAAGAAGGTAAGTAGAATCTCACATACTTTGCTTGTTTTTAAATATATATATATGTATGTTTCTAAATGAATGAATATTTTATTTCATTATTGTCGATGTATGAAAATAGGATCAAGCATATGATTATTTTACATTTCTCTATATAAATAATGGATCATGTTTATGAATGAAATGAGAAAATGATTTATGTTTAAAAAATGATTTTATGATAGCTATATTTTTACATTCCTGAAAAGTGGGATCATCGACACTAGAACTAGTTCTACGGCCTTGGCTAATAGAGTATAGTAGTTAGCATAAACATGATCATACGACCCTGTTAACAAGTTATAATAGTTAGCATAAGGCCTTAGCTAGAGGGTTATAATAATTAGCAATGATCATGAGGATGAAATTGTCGATACGGCCAATGTCATGGGTTATAACAATGACCGTAGCTAACGATAAACAAATGATAATGATGATTTATGATGATTATTTACATTGATTTTTAAAGACCGATCCATGATTTGTATGAAATATGCATTTAACTGTGATTTATGATTTATAATTGATGAATTAACATGTGTTGATATTGATTTATGATCTACGAAATGTTTAACATAATGATGATTTTTAAAATATTTTGAAATTATGATTTGACGAATATTTTGAATGATCTATATAATATGTATGAAAATGATGCTTGTTTTAGTAACGTATGTGAGCCTATACTTGCTAAGCTGTGGTTTGCTCATTCTCCTTTTACTTTTTCTTTATAAATGAGTAAGTGATAGGTTTGTTTAGTTTTGTGAAAAGCTAGAAGATCAAATGGGAAAGATTACTTAATCATCGGAGACAATGTTGGCTAATGAGATCTTATGAAATGATTTTATATTTTTATATGGTTTGTATTTGGATATATAGAGATGCATCATTAGTTAGATTAAAGATATGGATTTTACTTGATAGGTTATATTAGTGTATTGAAGAATTTTAGAATGATTAAGAAAGAAAGCTTTGTATTACTTTGGGGTTTACTTCAAGGTAATATGGCTTTGTTGCGTCTTAGTCTTAGAGCATGACATTTATAAATTTAGACCTTTCTAGAAACAATCTCAGTGGTAAAATTTTTGAATTTCTTGTGACATTTGGCTCTTTACACTGCTTGAATCTTTCTTACAACAATTTTGAAGGTCTAGTACCAGTTGGTGAAGTCTTTAAAAATATAAGTCCTATGTTCTTTGAAGGGAACAGTAAGCTTTGTGGAGGCACTCTTGAGTTCCACTTGCCAACTTATGATAACTTGAAACAACATAGAGGGAGATCAACTACTTCACTTAAATCAATAATTGCTATTGTTTTTGCTTTTTTTGGAGTTATTTTGGTTTTTTTCGTCATCTTTCTCTTTTGGTTTAGAAAAAAAATAAAGCAGCCTGCATCATCAATTGCAGAAAATCCATTGTTAAAGTTATCATATCAAAACATTCTAAAAGCTACTAATAGTTTCTCATCAGCAAATTTAATAGGTACAGGCAGCTTTGGTTTCTTATATAAAGGAATTCTTGAAGAGAATGGAGTTGAGATATGGTTCACATGTGAGTAAAGAGTCTCACATCATTAAAAAATTTGAATGAGATGTCCTATATATGCATGAAGTACCAAGAACCTGATAACTTAATCTTTTGGGCTCAAGTGGTGTCCAACATGTATATATAGGCTCTTTGGTTTGGTTCAATGGGCTCTAAGCATGATTTATCTCCCCAACAAGTGGTATCAAAGTCCAAAGTCACGAGTTATGAAGGACCCAAGAACTTCATAACTTAAGCTTTTAAACTCAAGTGGTGTCCAACATGTATGTATAGGCTAGACTCCAAATTTGGTTTATCTTCCTAACAAATGGAATAATTATTGTTGCCAAGTTACTTAAACTTTTGAGTCATGGAGCTTCCAGGAGTTTTTTGGCTGAATGTGAGGCCTTGAGGAATGTCAGACATCGAAACCTTGTCAAGGTATTAACAACATGTTCTGGTGTGGATCAGGGATTTAAAAAGCAGTGGAGTAGTATAATAGCAGCTGCTATTTTGTAGTAACGTTGATGTCCACTACAACTATTGAAAAAATATCGGGTGAGAATGCCATTCATGACGGTAACAGCACGTCACGATCGCAAAAAATGGCTTAATAGTAAATAGCAACAAAAGCGGACAACTATTGTCATATCTCCGTTTTTTGTCTAAAGAAAAAGAAAAAAAATCTCAGTTTTCATTTGAAAAAAAACCAAAAAACAAAAAACACAATCTTAATCAAATTCAAAACTTATATTAAGATCAAGAACAAGCAAGTAAAGAGGTGAGGTTTCAAGTTTAAAAAAAGGTGCACTGCTTAAAGGGAAGAAGGAAAAGAAAGGAAAAGAAAGGAAAAGAGGAAAGGTTGTTTCGAGTTGGGCAGTGAATGGAGGAGCAATAGCATGTGATGGCTAGAATTGGAGGTTGCATCTCGGGTTAGGAAAGAAGAAAAGGGCGTCACTCGTGAGAAAAGAAAAAAGGAAGAGAAGAAAAATGGATTAGGGATTTGCTAAGAACTAAACGGCATAGTTTGAAGATTAAAGACAAAAAGAATTAGAAAAACAAAAGAGGGCTTGGACCAGACCCATTTTGGCACAAAAGTAGGCAACTTATTTTGTTTATGGGCTCATTGGATTTATGGTTGTAGGTTTTAATATCAAAACTTAATTGAATATAATTTTTATATTTTTTAGTTTTTTTATTTGCAATTTGTTCATTTTTAATTCATAAATAGAAAATATTTATAACTAAAGAGATACAGTATTAATAATTAGATAAATGTAAAGTTGTTTGAGTATGAAGAACTCTTATAATGACAAAAAATTATGAATATTAATTTTCTTATATAAATAAAAAAGTCATAAAATTACTTTAAAAATTATTAAAAATTGTTTTTTGATATAATTATAATTATTACATTTTATAATAAATTGTGCAAAATTAAAAAAATTCACGATCGCGATGAATGCAATGACCATGATAGCAATCATTATGTCTGCAATCGTGATAAGTGTAACATGATCGAAAATGAAACCGCTACCGCAATTTGAATCCATGGTGTGGACTATCAACGCAATGATTTTAAGGCTTTTGTTTATGAATTCATAGCAAAGGGAAGCCTAGAGGATTGGTTGCATCCAATTGTTGGCATGAATGAGTGAGAGGAGACAGCAAAAGGCTTGAATTTTTTTCAGAGATTGAATGTGGTAGTTGATATTGGTTGTGCATTGGAGTATCTTCATCATCATTGCGAAACACCAATTGTTCATTGTGATCTCAAACCAATCAATATTCTACTTGATGATGAAATGGTTGGCCATGTCGGTGACTTTGGGCTACCAAAATTCATTACATCAGACATACAAAATAACACTTCAAGCCAGTCAAGCTCTCTTGGGTTAAGAGGAACAATTGGTTATGCTCCACCAGGTAAGTAGAACATTCTTTCAAATCAATACGTTATTTAATTTAACCTGTTAAGATCTTTTGATGTGTAAAAGCTTTTTGCATCTGTTTCTAAATTATTGCTCTTATTTGTGACAAATGAATTGCAGAATATGGCTTGGGATGTACTGTGACAACATATGGAGATATGTACAGTTATGGCATTCTTTTGCTGGAGATGTTTACAGGTAAAAGACCAACTGATGAAATGTTTAAAGAGAATCCGAACCTTCATAACTTTGTTAAAACAGCTTTGCCAAATCGAGTGGCTGAGATTACAGATCCCACTCTTCTTCAACAAAGTTTCGGAGGAGAAACAATGATGAACAATACTTTCAATGAGAGCAGCCAAAAAGATACCAGACTTCTTCGGAGCTTGAATTCCATATTGGAAATTGGAATTGCCTGTTCTTTTGAATTGCCAACCGAAAGAATGAACATGGCTAATGTTGTTGCTGAGCTTTGTTCTATAAGAGACAAGCTGCTTCCACCTCGATCATTAAGAAAGCGAGGTTCTACTATTGGTTTAAATCCAAGTAACAATAACATTTAATTTGTTATACATTTTTATCAAATTTTACATCCTTTGCATCATTTTCTTCAGCTGCAGCAGCTGCTTAATGGCTTAAGTTTAGTTGGTCCATTGGCGTGTGAAGGTGCAGTTTTGATCACTATCACATTTGATTTGAAACTCCATGGCGCCCTGTATTCTGTCCTGCAAACAATCCCTCTCCTGGAAAGAAACAGGGAAAAGAAGAAAAGATCATCATTTCCTTCAACTGCAGTTACTCAGTCTTGTGTTTGTTATTCTCTTCTTTTCAACCCTTTTCTTCCCATTCCCTTGTTTTGTGAAATAAAGGACCAAATCTCTAAGAATATTGGATTTAGCTTCAATTTCTTAATCTTGTGTCTACATTTGATGAATAAAATTCTAACTCTAGTGTTTCAGGTTTCATGAATAATATACTTTTTTCTCGTGCTTATTGCTTAATATTCTTGGATTTAGAATGAGTTTATGTCCAAATTTATCTGGTATGTTATTCAGCTACATTTAAATCTAGACAAATGAATTTTGATAAAGCTTCTGTCTCTATCATTTCGAGTGGCTTTTATTCAAGGGGATTGACCCGTGAACCACAGACGCAACCAATTCTTGTCGCTCATCGGCTATCAAATGAGTTTGGAAATCAAATCTTTCTTCTTTTCTTTTTCCACAGAGAAATCACAGGGCAACTAACCATTACTTTCATGTATGTTATAAATAACATACAATAGGGGGGTCCATAATTTTCACCCTCCATAGATAGAATCCAAACTTTTCCATCTTCTTTCATTTTTTTTAACAAGAATTTGTTGTGAAAATTGTTCATAAAAATATTAAGAAATCAAAATCCAGAGGAAGGGAAAAATATTACTGATGTTTAATGTTCCAGGAATATGTGGCAGCAATGTTATTGTGAGAGATGGCTACCATGGTAAGAAGATAAGACACAGCAAACCTAGAAGAAT